CTTTATAAGACAACAAAGAAGCGAAATGAAAGAACTAGTTGAAATAAAACACATACAAGAGGATACATGGGTGGCATTCCTGACAGAAATGTTTAAAAAACAAAACAAAGAACCTGTACCAGAAACGCCAAATATAATACTGAGGAAAAGACCGAAATCTCCCAAAACGATGTGAATGAAGAAATAAACAAATTAAAAAACAGAAAGTCACCAGTAGAAGATCAAATACTAAATGAACTCTTAAAATATGGAGGTGATCACCTTGTACAGCAACTGCAACTTCTTATTAATAAAATAATCACCACAAACAGAATACCAGATGAATGGAGGAGAGCGATCATGGTGATATTCTTCAAAAAAGGAGATAAGAAAGACTCCAATAATTATCGAGCAATAAATCTATTAAATACAACACTCAAATTGACAACAAGAATAATAGCGACAAAAATACACGAACGGATATCTCTGCAAGAGGAACAGCAAGGATTTCGGACAGGAAGATCATGCACGGATGTAGTTTTTGTAATAAGACAAATAAAAGAAAAGTCTCTGGAATACAACAAACCAGCATATATGTGTCTGATAAATTTGAAGAAAGCATTTGATAGAGTGAGAATTCGGGACGCGATACATTTATTATATGAAAAGGGAATATCACTGGATTTAGTAAAACCGTTGAGAATATATATAAAGATAACATAGCTATGGTAAGATGTAAAGGAAAACTATCGCAACCTATCAAATATGAAACTGGCATTAGACAAGGAGCTTCGCTGACCCATTAATATTTAATCTGATAATGGATGAAATCATAAAGAAAGTTAAAAAAAGAAGAGGATATAGAATAGAGAAAAAGAAATAAGGATAATATGCTACGCCGACGACGCCATAATAACAGCCGAAAATGAAAATGACCTACAAAAATTAATTAAGAATTCGAAGACACGGCGCTCATATACAACATGGTGATCTCAACAGAGAAAACTAAAGCGATTGTGATATCAGCGGAACCTAGACGATATAAACTAGTCGTAAATAACAAAATAATAGAACAAGTGATGGAAACTGAATACTTGGGAATAAAACTGTCAAGATACGGAAAAGTGGAAGAAGTACAAAAACAAGTGAACATGACAAACAAGAACAGTAGGGAACAAGACAGTAGGATGTCTCAACAACACAATCTGGAGAAACAAATACCTCACAACGAAACGAAAACCAGGATATATAAATCAACAATAAGACCGATAATGACGTACACTGATGGAAGAAGACTGATGGAAACAACAGAAATGAAAGTCTTACGAAAAATAACAAACCAAATTCTAAGAGACAGGGTAAGAAGTGAGGAAATACGAGCGAGATGTGGTATAGAGAAAATAAACGCGTGGACCAAAAGAAGAAAAGTGGAATGGAATCAACACATCGAAATAATGACAGAAAATAGAATAGTATGAATAGCAAAAGACAAATCGCCAAATGGAAGAATATCATTGGGACGACCGAGGAAATGATGGTCAGACAACGCCAATTGAGGCTAAAAACCGAAGTAAAACAGGCATTAAGCCTATTTATAAAGTAGGAAGAAGAAGAAGATATTTTATGTAATAACTCTTCTTAATACTCTAATACGCAGGATAATCGTAAAGCACTTATTCAATTTTAGTTGTTTTGTAGTGACCTGTCAGTCTTAATCTTGAGATATATTTGTGCTGCTTCGGTTGATCCTTTCACAACTTAACTGGAAACTCTAGGTCAGAACGAGACGTATATTTCGTATGAATCCATATCTTTAATTTTTACTGTAGAGTTTTTCTTAAAAACCATCATTTACAGTATATGTGTTACCGGTAGTGTATTTTTTAAGCAGTACGAAGATTGTTTTTATTGTTGCAAACTTCTCTCCTAGATCGGATGTGTTTCGTTTAGATCTATACGAAAAAATTAAAAACATTAATTTTTTTCAACATTTACGTTACTCTAAATCGTACACATAATTTTTACAGCAGTGAATTCAGTTTTGTTTATCGAAGAAAAGAAAAATGGAGGTCTTAAACATAAGGCACCGATCTCTGGAAGTATTCCAGGCATATGCTACTGGAAATCCGAATTTGTTTCACATTCAAAGTGAAATCCACCGGCCATGCACTTTTCCGAGGTCGAACTTGTGTTAACTGATAAAACAGGGATGCTGATATTCAAATTTTCAGCTGAATAAAACTGGGGCTGGCAATTCTCCAGCTAGTAGCGGATGCGTCGGAGGCCTTATCAATAAAGCGAGAATACAAAGATGTGGACGACATAAACAAATTATGGAATTAAAAAGCTTGTTATATACACTAGAACAATATATAACTGGGTTCTTCTCTACGAGTCAGTTTAAAAGTAAATAAATCATTTTTTAATATGAAAATTAGAAATATATGTGGCTCATTGGGAATATTGTACAAATATGTACGATATATGTGAATAAGTTTTAAATTAAGTAAAAGAAATTCTATGAAATAAAGATAGAATATATTAATATAGAATAAGTAAATACACATGTGGGTCTGTATTTAACCAAATACAGACCCACGGATCGACTGACAACATCATTAAAGGCAGCTATGTCAATATTGAATTAAATCTATTGAATTATATATCTAGGTTTTTTTTCAGATTATCGCAGGTGAATACATATAACAACACAATGACATAATAACATATCTAGCTTCGATACTGCAAACACAAGGAATTAGGGCAACCTAGATCCGAGAGGGGAAGTGTATCACCATTCAACCACAAAGCTTTTCAGGTCGTAAGTCAAAAGTGAGTGAAATTGCAATAGTGATCTAAATATCAGATCTCTAGTCAGGCCATGGAGTTTTTTTTATTTGTGGTATTGCCAGATTTCAGTAAGAGCCTAAAAATATATTGAATTCTGGCAGGCAATGTTGGGGGAAACCATTTTTGGACATCGCCGTCACGGAGCAAGACATCCTGGCATCTTTCGGCCGAGTAGGACACTAAGCCAGAAGACCCCAGGGTAGTGCCGGATTAACCGTGTTCCGGCTAAAACCTTAACCACCATTCCAGAGAGGTGGTCTTGGCACTCAATGAACAACCAAAATAAAAAACTAAAAACTTATAAATAACCATACCTGTAAATCAGAAAACATTTCAGACGTTAGGCCATAAACTAATGAATAATATTAACCATAAATTTCAGATCCCTGGTTCAATTTCCTCCTCTGGCCTCCTGTCCATTTTTCTTCATCACCCCAGAAATCAGACAGTGTATTTTTCTCCATTCTTTCTCTCATCTCAACATTATGTTTACCATGTTTCTTTCATCCAGTCTGAAACCCACTCGCCTTTCGAAACCTCCACTCTTATTTTGCCAATCTCTGGTAGTTAAAAATGTAGCGGGAGCATCCGGTACCCCACAAACAGTACAGTTTACCGAGGCAGTTTTGCCTATTCTATTTTTGAGGGTGCCAAAACTACCACGTCCGGTCAGAAACTGTGTCAGGAAGTAGTCTAGTTTCCTAGACTCCCACCACGGCCTCAGATCAGGAATAAGCTCCATCATCCACGTTGCCTTTCCGCTATCATTCGTCCATTCTCTCTGCCACTGTACTATAGTTCTTTCTCTCTCATTCCCTTCTATATTTCCATCCAACCTCCTCGCATACACCCCGCTACGCTCTTTACACCACACAGGGACAGCGTAGGTTACCACCGACTGGAAAACTCTATTTAGGACCCTTCTTTTGGTGTACCTGAGCTTCCAATGTTTGGCATCAGCCGTATCAACGCCTTCAGACTTTTTTGTCTTTTGCCTTCTCTACCGTCTTTTGGATGTGTAGTCCGAATCTTGGTCCTTCCGACAACCAGACTCCCAGATACTTAATTGATTTAACCGGGGTAACCTCCACACCTTCCACTATAAAGAGAGGATTTTTCCCGGCTCCCTTTGAGAACGAATACCTCAGTTTTCTGAGGCGCTAGCTGTAGATCGTTCTCTCTGATCCATCTACTTATATGACACAGGGCTATGTTAGCAAGATTCTGTGTTCTGGGAAAGGCCAGATGGAAGAAGGTCTGTAGGGCAGCCTAGAAAAAGGTGGAAAGATGTAGTCAGAGAAGATCTACTAGAGAAGATGGGAGTGCGACAATGGGAATTACTGGCACAGGCCCGACAAACATGGAAGGCAATAGTAAACGCGGCAAAGACTCACGAAGAGTTGTAGCGCCATTGATGATGATGATGATGTGTTTAGCCGGATTAGCCATGTCCGTTTTCTGACTCACCTTCACAACCAGTGCAAAATCATCATAAACTACAAGTGTGCATCCTTTTGGCATCTGTAGGCTCAACGTATCGTACAGAACATTCCACAGGATGGGACTTAATACTGAACCCTGCGGAATAACCTACGAGAAACTGATGGTGGTATCTTTTTCTCTTATGAACCTAAAGTATCTGTCAATTACGTTGATCAGGTACTCACTAACGCTGATTTCTCTCAGCCTGGACATGATTTTTTTCCATGATGCCGTGTTAAAGGCATTCTTGACGTCAAGCAGGATAAGAGCCCATCTCTTTGTATTCTACGTAACTAAAGAGGTTACTTCTATGACCGCAACTATGGTGGACCTTTTGGCCATAAAACCATTTTGGCGGTCGCTCAGCGCATGCTTTTCTTTTAGCTCTCGTTCAAGGCGGCCTTTTATAAGCTGCTCGTACAATTTGGCTATCGAACTAAGAACTTAGCTTCTTTCAACATTGTTGGAAACTGCTGTTGTTCAATCAGTTTATCTAGCAATCTCAGGAAAACCTGTGGTTATCTTAGTGCGGCGAGTCTTATTGTCTCCGGCATAACATTATTAATACACATATAATATAATAAATCCATGATGATATTTAATATTAAAATAAACGAGTTTAAAAAAAGTAAATAAATAAATATTCTACGAAAAGCATCCTACAACGAAATGATTAATTTTATTCCTACCTGTTTATTCACATGATCCTTCGAATTCCCAGAAACATCGTCACAAATTGTACAGTAGTTACTCTAGGAAGCAGCTGATATGATATTGGAGGTCAATTATCTCAGTGATAAGCAACTACCATATCGCGAGAACTGATTCACGTCATCTGCAACAAGAATAAGAACAATAATTTGACATATTCAATAATTATTAGTAATAAGTACTAAAATTATCGTTTTAATGAAAGTTTTTATTTAACAATTTTGTATTAAATGGTGGAGAAGGAGATTAGTCGGGAGTAGTGTTTATTAATTGTATTTATAAATTAAAAAAATACAGGGGAAGCTATAGGTTTAAGATGAACAATAAAATAAATATTTATTTTTGAAAATGAACATACTTTTGAATGTATTTGAACTTATTTCCAAAAAGTGTTGTTTCACTCCGAACTTAGGAACTTAAAAATTGTATCTTAAAATAATCATTTTTACATGCAGATGCAAAAAAAAATATTTTAAATAAAAAATAAACAAAGCTCTGGGGTTTGAACATCGAGCAAAAAGACAAAAGAGGGAATGTAAAGGTAGTGGGGATAAAAATATTGTTAGACAGGAAGTGCGATCTTGAGAGGCCACTTTAAACAAGGAAAGACAGTCTCTTTCCTTGTTTATAAAATCAAATTTTGTTTGGTTATGTTATTGTTTGTCCCAACTGTCACATGAAATTTTATTTATATTGAAGTTTCTTACCATTTGTGTCATATTTTAGACTATTATCGTTAATATTTAATTAAAACTTTCTCGCCTGAAAAATATTTTATAGCTATTGTTAATTGTCGAAAAATTTAAATTTAGCGCCTTTGCATTTCCGGATATGTCCGCCATCAGAGGCCACTTTTTTGGTCTCCTTTTCATAAGGATTAGATTCCCCTTTTTTTTTGTCTTTTTGCTCGATGGGTTTGAATAACCTGTATCTATAGAAATGATCAATTCAATACCAATAGGTACACAATAGTTAATAAAAACAATGGAGACCATGGTTAGGAAAGAGAAGCAGAGGAAGACCACAAATGAGATGGGTGGATGATATTCAGAAGATCGGAGGACACAACTGGAAGCAAGTGGCGCAAAATAGAAGACACTGGATTGATTTGGGGGAGGCATATGTCCTAAGTTGGATTACTTAAGGCTGAAGAAGAAGGTACATAGTTTACAATGAAACAATAGTTTCAGTCTTGAACAACAAAAGACAATTTAACTACGTTCATAAGAATAAATTAAAGGACAGAATTTAACAAACTCTTGGTTCTATTTTTTTAGTGTTTTATAGTAGCAACAGAAGCCTTCCATTGGAATTATGGAAGAATATGTCAGTTTGGAAATGAGTCATAGATTTTTTGTTTTTGAGTACTGTTTCTTTAAGTTATTTTTCTTTGTTAAGTGCTTTTTAAAGTAAACAACAGTTGTACAAATTTGTACATTCACCTAAAAATCTAACAATAACGGTCATATACTGCCCCACGACTTAATATAAACAAATAACAATTATTCACACAGTTCTCTAGATCTCTTGGAAACAAATTCTTAACAGGCGGAGACTAGAAAGCTAAACATACGAGTACACACTGTGGATCTAGACTTATTTCTTCAAAAGGAAAACAACTTTATATTTGTATGCAAGACAACAATTTTTAAAATACCAGATATGGTAGATTTTGGTATCACCATGGATTTATTTAACAACCAATTAAAGGGTTCTTGTTATTATTATCTGTCTGCTGACAATAAATCCTTTACAGAATATCGTCTGCTACATTAACTAACAAATCCATAAACTGGGAACAATTCAGAGAATTACTATCCAATAAATAACACCAATAGAGATGTCTCACTAAAAACAAACCTCAGAATACCTTAACCAATCCATTCAAGAAGCTACATGGGAGTAAATGACAATCAAGAAAATAAATTCGCCTCACTTATACTCAACGAATATTAAGACGTAGATTCACGCTAACAAGAGCAGGACAAGACATGACCAATCTGAATAGAGCTATAGCATAGTTAGAAGCGTTAATATGGGCCTTCTATAAATTGCAAGGCAAAACAAAAGATGAAAAAGATCTTAATCTAAAAATGGCATTCCCCAACATATCTCCTCATTTAAGCAAAAACCTTTGGTGAACTTTCTTTTAACTGTCTTTTCTTCTAAAAACCTTTCTTTTGATATCTAGCAGACTTCAGTATCTAAAAATACCTGCTTGTGGTTACAGTCTAAAGCTCATACAAGTGCTGAAAATGTGGGAATTTGGCACAATTTTTAACACGTATTAATTTTCTTCACCATTAGATCCATTACATCTTAATCGTCATAAACATTCTATGTATGTATGTATGTATGGAGAGGTTTGGCTTCGAACTATATTCATTAGCCACAGATCTTATTAATGAAATATTCCTGATTGAAAATTAAATGTATTGTAATATACGTATTTTTAAATAGTATGTACTTGTCCATATCAATTGTATTTTAGTGACTACGTCCAAATTTATTATAACAAAACTTATTTATGCTAAATGTTTATTTCTGTTTTCCTGAGAAAATTAATTAAGAGATCATACACTGATTTGTTGAATGAGGCAATTAAACATGCTATATTAACTGGACCCGCAATGTGTAGTTTGTACAATTTGGATAATAGCTCTTTGGATGATCCCATACGTTTGGTACATTCAAAGAATATGTGATTTAAGTCTCCCACTGAAGTGTTGCTACACTCACAAAAGGGGCTTTGAAACACTCCTATTTTAAACAGATGGGATGGAAAGCAACCATGATGAATTTTAATTCTAGTAATAGTGGAAGCATATCATTTGAAAGAAGAAAAGGTTGGGCGAGGAATACTATTGGGCAGAGTTGAATGAATTGAATAATAGTGACTGTTATGAGCATTATGCTTTAATAAAGTTGAAAACTTGCATACGTGCTGTTGAGAGTTTGATCTACTATAATGTTTCTTTAATGTTTTGCGATGGATGATCTACCTTTGACAGTATCATTTTTTGACAGTAAATAAATGAGACCACCAAGATTTGGCGGCCGGTAATAAACATCCACTAAAAAACATAGAACTTTAAGATAATGAGGAAATTAAATACATTAAAAAGTTTTAACTGAAAGATTACTTAACGCAGACAGGAAGTATTACACAAATAAACGGCGTACTATGGGATAAACAGATCACAAAAAAGAAAATGTATGTATGCAGTACAACGACAAATGCTGCAGAGAACTGGATAATATCAAAACTCAATTATAATGTCAAAAAACTCAATCAATCATATCAAAAGAAACTGTAGCTTGTAAAGACTGAGCCATTTAATACATACAAAAATAAAATCAAGGACGGCACTGGAACAAGATATACTGATCTAAAAAAAAACGTCTAATTTGGTATGGTAATATAAGAAGAGTAGATCAATCGAGATAGATATCAAGAATTTCAGAAACGGTTAAATGGGAAGAAAAAGAAGAGATAGGTCATAAAGATAATAGAGAAATGAAAACCGCATGGGATAATGAACATAGGGTTCAATGGAATGATTCAAATGTAGTCCTAAAAAATAAAAAAATCAAAGAAGCGGCTCTAATTATGCTAAATGAGACCAATTGTGTCGCAAATTCCTCGGCAGAATGTAGTAGGATCTGGTTACCAATATTGAAAGAGGAAGTTATTAATAAGAAAATACCAGTACTAGTAAGTCAATAACATATAGAGGATACATCATTTATGTTTTTTAAATAAAGAAACATATAAAATCAGAGTTTGGTGTTTATTGAAGGTAAACTAAATGCACGACCAAATACTTACCATATCCGGATAGTATTATGAGGTTTTTTTCCTGGTTCTTCCCTCATAATTTACTATAGAATCACTAACAGGAGAATTTTACTGTCATCATGTTATGTGTTTGTCTTTTTAAAGACGAATTACATGCTATGATTTTTTTCTGACGGATATTCTCAAGTTAAAGTTGATTTCATGTAATCGAATGAACTATCTTATAAGTAAAGTCATCCCAGGAGCGCAACTCAACAATATTGGCATTATCATTTTAAAGTCGTCTACTTTGAAATGCATAATGTATGTCTGAATTATCAATAAAAATGAGTCAGATAAAATTAAATTATTAAAACAATTTTTCACTCAGTAACAAAAAACAAAATTTGTTTAATTCACTGTTTGTATTTTGAGAACGATTTCCGAAGTGGAAATTGAAACGTCAATAAACGTATTTTTACCTTTCATTGTGGCTTATTCCCAGTTAAATATTAATTAATTTAAAATGCCACAAGAAAATAGCTTCAGAACAATATTAAGAAATCAACAAGGTCATGCGAAAACAGGATCTCATTGAAGGCAACATCAAGACGAATGGAGACATCGGTTAAAAGAAAGTAAAGAACATTTTGGCATAAAAAAGTAAAAACTAAAGATATCAACATAACATTTTATTTACAAAGTCATATTAGCTTAGGTTATTTTTCAATATAGTTGACTTTGTTATCGAGGCATTTATTATATTGTGAAATCAGTTTTTCGATGACGATATTGTAATCCTCTGATGCCTGAGCCAGGAATTGAACTTTCGTCATGTCCAATCTCCTTTCCACCTAAGAACTTTAGGGAACAGATGATAATCGGAAGAGTTCTTGTCGATGCATGGAGTCTAGTATGGTTGAGAGTCAGAAACCTTCTTCGACAACATGCCACGTCGTTTATTCTGTATTCCACGTTTTAGTCTTTGAAGGGTTTCGTAAAAGGCTTCTAGTTTATTGTTTTACCGCTAGTCATCAACTACGTCTACGTGAATTAAATTCTTACATTTAAAAGCCGAATCACACTGCGTACTTCACATTTGGCAGGATTTTCAATGAGACCACCATTTTAAAATCTTATAGAACAAATACGCGTGACCCCATATTAACGAGACCTAGTTCACAACGATGCGACAGACACAGGTAACTAATCCGAAATCGCAGCGGTGGTGGTGCACGAAAGAGCAGCGTGTGATGCGCAATCGTTCTTTACTTTCTGGACGACCCTCGTATTTAGGTCTATTTGATACACCAGCCTATTCTAGTATAAGTAGCAGATCCATTTAG